CCCACTTTGCCTATGGGGGTGTGTCAGACTTATATGACTTAGCCTATGTAGGCTATAGTGGGGTAGCACATATGGGGTACAACACATTTCTAGGGTTTGTACTTGTACCCAACCTTTCCCTTAGTCAATCATTCCTCATTTCTTCACAGTACGCAGTATTGGCAAAAAAGAACACAGCATGCATTTCTGGTTGACGATAAGCCTGCAACAACAGATACGCCCTACCTTCAACGAAATATTTAGCCTACCGAGAACACTACAAACAGGAAATGAACATGACGAGGAGTTGCAAACACAAAACATATAGCCGGAAACTCGATACTCCATCGCTAAATGCGGGCATGCTTACCGCGAGAAGGCGGACATCCGCCGAAATGAAAACCTTCAACCTGGTTTGATGAAAACCGTCAACCTGGTGCAGCCTTAGTTGCAACAGATGGCTGTTGAGAAAGCCTGCAAGGAGGTATGACATAGGTTTTGAACATCAGTGAAGCAACGGAAAAAAAAAGTGGTTGTAATAACATGGGTTATGGTTCCACTTCGCGATATGCACCCAAACGGAGTCACTGTTCCGCGCCGTCGAGTACAGAAAAGCTGCCACAACACAGTGTGGGACGTGGGGTTAACAGTAGCGTGCCGCAAAACTGACAGCAGATGCACAATAATGCAAACCGGTTGCCTCGCACTCGAGTAGTGAGATGCCGCACAGTTGCCACAACGGAGTAAAGGAAGTAGATGCAATCGTAGGAAACAACACAAATATGTTACCAGCTATATTAGAACCTTACGACTTGTAAAAGTAGCTGCTGAATGGCGCGTAATCGTCAGCAGCTACTTTTACAAGTCGTGCTGTGTGCAACTAAGGGAGTTGGAAACATGTGGGGCCAGGGAGGGCAGAGACCTGCCAGAGCTGTTTACCACCAACTATTGCTGTGAGGGCTGAGGCCAAGGCAAGGTCGGTGTGGGTGGATGATGGGACGATAGGTGATGGGTTGATGAAATTCTGGGGTAATGGGTCATGGGGTGATGGGGTTTTGAGATAATTGGGTGGTGGAATCATGGTGTCATGGAGCGATGAGATCAAGAAAATGACTTCCCCATACTGAAAGGGCCAAAATGAGAGACAGCGCCAATGGAAGCGTTGGTGCTAGGCAACAAATGAAAGCACAGACCTGATTCGGTAGTGGCAGGTTCGATACACGGCACAACTGACCTGCCGATCGTTGATAGGTGTGTTCGTTGAGTGTATTGACGGCAGGGAATGGATGCTACTGGCTGGACTATGCACACCTGGTGAGTGCTGGTGTTGGGAAGAGTGGCCAGAAGGAGAGAGAGCAGTGGGGCAGGTGCAGGATATGCGAATAGGACCAGTGTGATGGACGCTGCTGGCTACACTCTGCACACCTGGGGAGGAGTTGATGGCTATGGGGATGGGGACGGGGATTGGGACAGGTATGGGGGGATAACTAGCACTGCCACAACCACAGGGCATTCAGCAGCAAGGCACTAAGCTTTTGTGGATTAACCTTGAACACGGCCAAATCACCTGAGACCGACCTGGTACTAACGTTGAGCAATGCAAAGTACTAAGCTGCAATTACAGAAAAAAAAGTAATTATATAAATAGAAGATGAACAAACAAATGAATAAGTGAAAAGATAATTTAATTAAAATTACTCGATCATGCTGAGCTGGCATTGACCCTGCAGAAGATGGTCGTCGCCTTCTGCAGGGAAGCGAAATTCTACCGAAGCGAACTCTGCAGTGGTCAGCGCGGAGGTCTGCAGCAGAGAGAAATCTGCAGAAGCGGAAAGCCGGTTCCGCTGCAGAAGAGCGCGTGCCTGCAGAAATCGTGGTGCTGCGGAGGAGGGCGAATCTGCAGAGCACATAGTGGGTGCTGCAGAAAAGTGCGCATCTGCAGAAAGCGTTCTGCAGAGGAGAGTGCGTCTGCAGAAGCGAATTTCTGCAGAGGATCACTGTCTCTACCGGCGAACCACTCCAACGCGAAAACGCGATCGTTTCGGAACTTTTGCGTGGGAATTTCGGAACATTGCGGACATTGAGAGATTGACCCCCGGAAACAGTGCGTGACCTTGGCCGTTTCAATCTGGGGGTGAATTGAACCACTTGAGCAAACTGAACCTGGCGCACGTTTTCATTACTACGAAAACGTGCGTTACAAATGTTGTTTAATACAACCTGAACAGTTAAAATAACTACTTTTAAGTAGGCAAGAATTACCAACTAAGCATGTGTTGTAATTTTCACCTGCCGATGCTGACTTGGCAAAGCACAGCTAAGTAGTAATCTAAACGTTCTCTTAGTAGGTTCAGTTGTTGGGTAGTTCTTTATCCCTTGTATTCTATCTTTCATTCAATTCTAGTGAATTTTTCTGTGTGTGCCAAATCTTTGCCTTTTTCAACACTTAGCCAATTTTCTCCTTAGTGAACAACAAAAATTGCGTGGCTGCAGAGATAGCATTCCGTAGAGCTCCAATTCCCGTTAGAGTAGAAATCTCTTCAGATCAAAAGTGGGCCAACCCGTTTGGTTGGTTTAACTTAAGGTGCTGAGCCGCGACAAACACAACAGAGAGGTTTGACATGGAAACCAAGACACCAAGTGCATGAACATTGCAGATTTCGCTGAGATCCACGGGAGATGCTGCTGCCGAACGGGTTCGGTTATGAACCTCGGTGTTGGCTCGACTCAATCAAACTAGTTCTCTTCGACTAGTGGACCAGTTGGACTCAATTTTGGTACGTTCTCAACCCCACCTAAGATTGACATGAGACTGACCTGAGACTCACTTGAAATTCACTTGAGACTGATCTGCAACTGACCTGCTTGTGACCAGCAGCTTAACCCGAGGGCACAGGCTGCTGCAGAGTGTAACAGAAGTGGTGCGAGTGAGTCCAGAGACTCGTTCGAGACTCACCTGGGACTTACCTGAAACCCCCTTGAAATTCACCTGAAAACTGACCTGAAACTGACCTGAAACTGACCTGAGACTGACATGCTTGTGACGCGCAGGTTGCCCCAAGGGCACAGGGTATAGCCGTTTCGTCCTGTAAACAGTGCGCTGGCAACATAGCGGAGAGGGAGGGCATGTCAAAGGGAGGTGATAATGCCTTAGTAGTCAGTGCACCCGCTGCCTGGGGGTAAGCATCTGTGCTGGGGGAGAGGGGTGGGGGGAAGGGGAGGGAGGGGGATAGGAAGGGAAGGGGAGAGTGTGGTGCTGCAAGAGCAGTGTGGCCGGGCCATAAGGGCCAAAAGCGTAAGGGAAGTGGCGGGAGTGAGTGCAGTGGGGCAGGAAGAAGTTAGCGGCGGAGTGACATGTGTGGAGTGGGGGAGAGGGGGGGAGGTTGACGGGGGGTGGAAGACGGAGGGAGCAGGAAACGAGAAAAGGGAGAAATGGCATGGTGGGAAGGGTAGCAGGAGGGCTCAGGCAGGCGGGCGTCACGTGAGCGATCATAAGGACGACCCGGAATCGTGAAGGTTCTTCCAGGCAAGGGGCACGTGGCACGCAGGCAGGCAACAAGTGGGAGTGCAAGAGACGCAGGAGCACAGCTGAGGGGGCAATCGTTACGTCTCCAGCAGTGGCGCAACTGGCGGTGGTGCAACGGCGGTGGCAAGGCGAGGCGCGGTCAACGTCCGGCTGGAGCAGTGATGCCTGCAGTACTACGCACCGCACTCCTTACAAGCTCAGCCATTCCAATCAGCCCGCGAGGATTGAATTCGCCAGGAGTGAGCTGCGGGACGGGTCGTGGCAGAGCCTGGTGCCATAGTAGGAAATTGGGGTAAGGAGACTTGGGTGAAGGGAGGGGTGGGAAAAGGAGAAAGGGAAAACGGAAGGGGATGCGGTTCATGGAGGGGGTAAGGGAAGGGGGGGTGGATTAATGAAAAGGTAGGGGATAAAGGGAAGGGGAGAAGGTAACGAAAAGGGAATGGGGTAAGGGAAGGGGATGGGTGTAAGGCGAGGGGGAGGAAGGGAGGGAGAGAGGGCAAGTGTAAAGGCAGGTTCGCGGCGTCGCTTGTGTGTGGGCGATGTTGCACGCCCGAATAGGCCACGTGTGAAAGCAGAGAGGGCGTCACCTGACATTGGAATATTTGTTCGGAATAAGATGGAATAGCGTTCGTAACTTGAAAAGCGTGACGGTGTTAGATTTTAGTTGATAAGCCTCTAGATGAGGCAAGCCATGAATACTCCCCATCACCAGCTGCCATCATCTGAGCTCTAACCGAGGGGATAATCAAGTCCTGATTTATAATATGCTTAATGTCCATCGTAACAACCTTCCGAAACCCCCTTGGCATCGGGATGTTGTAACCCTCATAAAAAGACTTCTCCGAAAACTTTCTTGGTCCTGCGAGCCCCAACGGGCAGCTCAAATAATCCGGCCGCAACTTCAAAATTGCAGATATATTTTCCAGCCCCAAATCATTCCCTATGTAGTCCCGAAAGCCCGCAGCAAGAGGCTGACTCAGCGAAATGTTGATCTCCCGATTCAACTTTTCCGTAACGGTGAAATTCTCGCAGTGCTTCCAGTCGAGGCCATAGTTGGTGGTGTTGACGGCGACAAAGTCGATGAGATTGTCGGTTCCCAGCCCTCTGCATGCTCCCGTGACGTCAGCACCTGGCTGACCTGGCGGGTTACATGACACGCCGCCATTGGCCGATGTTTCCTTGCAGACGTCCTTCATCCAAGGCCATAGCTGGATGTGACAATAACGAGGGGGGGAAAAGAGAGAGGAGATGGGAGATATGGGAGAGAGGGAGGGGAGAGAGGAGAGGAGAGAAGGGAGACGAAGGGGGAGGTAAGGAAAAGAATACATTAGCTTTTATTGCACACATGATATGGAGGGGGGGTCAAGGGGTGGAGGAGCAGTGATCACTTGGTAAGTTTGACCACATGTGACTTCACACTCTCTCACTGCTGAACATCTGCTCCTTTACGCTCACACACCCAGTTGATACGGTTGCTGTGTGTGAGGCACGAGGCTTAACGCCACTACAGGGGCACCATATGCACAGCCACTGGCACAAATATTCACAGGGATGCCTCCCAGTAGTAACAGCACTCTTCACGTACTCGGTTGATATGGGTGCTGTGTAGTATTTCACTTGCATTGCATCCCAGTACTTTTGAGGCGTCTCACAAGTTGGATGCGAAGCTATGGCATGTGCTCTTTGCTCACTTCCTGCTCTGCTCCCACTCACCCGGTTGATGCGGGCGCTGTTGTAGTATTTCACGCGCATGGCCTCCCAGTAGTTGCCGGGGTCTTTGAGGCAGTTGTTGACGGTCACTGTGAAGCACGACGTCCATCCCAGCGACCCCCGCGTGCCTTTCATCGCCACGTTCTCGATCACGTTCCTGCAGTCAACACGAGGGAGGAATGGGTGGACGGCAGTACAGGGCAGCATGGCATCGGGAGTTGTTGTGCAACGGGAGCTGCTGAGGGCACGGTATGGGACGAAAGGGGGGTCCTGAAGGACGCAACTGAACATATGATTGCACACCACTGGATCTCCACAGTCCCTCCTCACCGCTTGCCGTTGTTCACTTTCATGCCGTCATACATATTCACGCACGTGCCTCCCCTGACAAGCACGCCCGACGAGCAATGGTCCAGATAGTAGCAGTGATCGCCGTTGAACACGTAGTTGCACAGCGCCGAGTTCCCCGGACCGAACCAGTGCGTGTAGAAGTCGATCCCAGCCGAGTCGTGATCCCCGTTCAGGTTCCTCCCAGAGGAAACCACAAGGTTGGAGTTGAAGCGACTGAGCATGCACGCAAAGCTGTAATGCACGTCGGCACCGCACTTGATTCCAGCGAATATGAAGTCGTGCACGTAGTTGTTCCTGACGGTTACACCAACTGCTCCCCTGTGCAAGAGGATCGGAGTGTTCACCCCTGCAATCGAGGGAAAGAAGGGGGAAAGTGTACAGAAAAGGAGAGTTCAACCACTACGACAGTGGTAAATCCTTGCCGAGACTTGATCCCCGTTGTTAGAATAAACAAGGCTGGAGTTGATGCGAGTGAGCATGCAGTCACCGCTGCAATGCACATTGGCGCTGCAGAGCTGCAGTGAATCCCAACGAGAACGTAGTTGTGCATGTACTTGTTGGTCATAGTGATGCCCACCGCCGCTCCCCTGTGCAAGACAGTCAGGGTGTTCACCCCTGCAGGCAACGGAAAGAGAGCGGAAGAAGGCGAAACGAGAAGAGGGGGCAAATGGTGGGATTTGGCATAAGAAGGAGAGGGGGGAGGGGAGGGGTGCGGAGGGGAAATGATGAGATCAATTGGAGTTGATGCGAGTAAGCATGCATTCGTTGCTGTCATGCACGCCGAATTCCCACAAAAACAATGGTCATGGATGTAGATGCTGGAGACTGCTATGCCTTCTGCTCCCCTGTGCAGCACAACGGGGGTGTTCACCTCTGCAGGCAAGGAAAGAGGGGGGAGTGGGTTAAGGGAAAAAGCGGGAAAGAGCATGGTGATGAGAAGATATAGCCATGGATGTAGTTGTCTGTTATTGCTGTGACCACTGCTACTCTGTGCAAGACAATGGGGCAGGAGGGCAGGGGGAGAGTGAGGATAAGGGGGCAATGGGGAGAGAGAGGTTAAGGGGGCAGGGGGGACAGTGAGGACCATTCACTGACCTTCAATCTCATTGACTCTGGTTGACTCCCGTTGACTCTGGGAAGCATCCCACTCACTCACCGTACACCTCATTGTTGGAGATGACAATGTTGGATTTGAGAAGTCCCGGCCCGTACCCACACAGGGCCACTCGGATCACCCCAGGCGACTTGATAAAGGAAGCCACTCCGGTGACCGAGAGTGAGTCCAGGCGCACGTCCATGCTGCGTAGCACGTCCACTCGCCCAAAGATGTTGCCCTGGGGGGGAGAGAGGTAGACGGGATAGGGGGTAGCTTGGAGGCACGCGGGAGCTTGAGACGACGTGTGGGATGAGAAAAAGAGAGAGAAACCACTCCAGTGAGCGTTAGTGAGTCCAGCCGCACGCGGCATGGCCATGCTCCATTGCACGCCCACTGGGCCAAAGACGGTGCTGTGAGGGGAAGAGAAGGAGAGGGAATGGGGATGAGAGTGGAGGCACGTGGAAAGATGAGGAGCTGGAAGACATGTGGGTGTGGGTGTGGGATGAGACGAGTTTATGGTGCTCCATCATCTCACCACCATGTCCACCGGAAGAATCCAGACAAGAGAACTTTTGTGAGTCTTGGCGCGTGCCTGTTCTTCTCACCACGTAAACTGGGCCAAAGACGGTGCCCTGTGGAGGAGACGGGCTGGCAGGCGAGATGGGAGAGGGTGGAGAAGGGAAGCACGTGTGAGAGACATCTCGCTTCTATGCTTGCCTCAAACATGACAAAACAAACAAACACGCTTAAAAAACAGGACACGGATAAAATCATGGGTGACATGCGAAAGGAGCGCAACAAGCAGATGGAATGGAGGGACTCACCTTGTCAATCTGCACGCCGTATGATCAATGGATCAAGACTGCGTCGCGGGGCACGCCACTCCTTGCCCAGCTCTGCCACTCCCTTGCCCAGCTCTGCCACTCCCTTGCCCAGCTCTGCCACTCCTTGCCCAGCTCTGCCACTCCCTTGCCCACCTCTGCCACTCCTATGCCCAGTTAGTGGTGCTCTCTGTCACCGGCACGTGATATTTCATGTTCAGCGACACTCAACTCACCGCAAGCAAGCATTCAAAGTTCGGGGAGGTGCATTCGGGAATGCCCTCCGTCACTAGCACCTTATAATTCACGTTCATCAGCAGAGGTGTGGATAAACGACAAGGAAGGGAGAGTGAAAAGCAGGTACAAGGGAGGGGCTCACCTTGCCAATCTGCACGCCGTAGGACCGATGGATGGAAATGGCGGGGCAGGTGACGGCCTTGCCGAGCTCGGGCACGGTGGTGCAGTCGGGGCTGCTCTCCGTCACCGGCAGGCGATAGTTCACGTTCAGCGACATGACGTTACTCGTGTTCCACACGCGCAGCACCGGATACATAGGGTTACCACCCGTCAGCGTGTAACCGGGCCATTTTGCCAACATGAGTATCGTGCAAGACTGCTGCCTCCCGAACAAAATCCCTTTAGGCAGCATCAAATCCTTCTGTAAATGCAGAATAACGGTGGCGGTGGGCGGGAGAGAGGCCCTGGCTGCGAAATCAGCGGCCGACTTGACTCGGACTATGAAGACTCTCTTGAGCCACATACTGCAGGGGCCTTTCGGGCGCTTCTGAGACAGCTGGTACCCTGCGGCTATAGCGGCCCGTTGCAGGGAGACTGGCCCGATGATCACGGTTCGCTGCCTCCTCCTCCTCCCCTGGGCTTGCAGTCTGGCTGCTCCGGTTGTAGCAGCAGCAGCAGGTGTGTAACCAGCTGTAGCAGCTTCTGTAGCAGCATTTGTAGCAGCAGCAGCAGCAGTTGTCCGTCTGAGAGGGACGTCGAGGACAAAGGATTCGCCTGACGCAGCAGCGGCAGCCACAGCAGTGAAGAGCGGCGGGGGCTGGCTGTCCCCCTCACGCTGCTGCCGCACCGACTCAACCCGACGCAGCATGTCACGTTCGTCGTGACTGTATCCGTGGTTGGGAGTGTACTGGATGTGACTGTATTGAGACGGAGCTTGGCTGAAAGAATTGCCGTGTGGGCTGGTTGTGTGATAATGATGGTGGTGACCCATGCTTGATGCGTGGTGCCCCATTGATGCTGAGTGTTGCTCTGTGACTGTAGCGGGGAAGGAGGAGGATGAGGGGGAGGGGGGAGTGTGGGGGAAGTGGGGCTGCGAAGAAAGGGAGAGGGAGTGTGATTGGCATGGAAACCCTTGGTGGTAGCTGAAGCTGTTGCAAACAGAAATCGCATTGTTTTCTTTGAGTGCTTCTGATTCTATCAGCTGATCCTATGCTAACTTGTTTTGGGTTGATATCTCACCATGCCTTGAAACGCGCGAAGTTTACCATTAACAGTAGTGCCTCGAAACGTGTCAGCACGCCTTATAACGCGTACCTCGTCATGTCGTATAACGCGCACCTCGCCATCCCTTGACGCGTACGTAACAATGCTTTGCAGCGCGTACCTTTGCCATGGCTTCGAATGCGTACCTGACCATGCCGTCACAGCGGTCCGCGAGGACAGGCCCGATATGACGGCGAAAATTCCGTAGATTGTGAAGGCATTATAGATTGTCATTCTCTCGGAGGCCACATCGCGACCGACTATTCTTCTTCCGGGCGTCCGCAAGATTCCCTCAAGTCAGATAATGAACAATACGGTAGATTCCATGACCGAAATCGACGCTACAATGGAAAATAAGTTAGGACTTGAATGAAAAAGGAAGCCCGCAGCTGCAGAAACCTTAACTGGCATGAATTGGACAATTTCGCAAAACGCGACTGACGCATGACGCTTACTACTACGGCAATCAGTTGTCCAGAACGTTGCGTGGTTTACCATTTTACACGTTATGTACGGCACAGACGGTCTATCTCAGAACAATGCCATAGAGGAATGCATTGGTGCAAGACACAAAACATGGCTGACAAATGCTACCACGAGAATTTTCTCGCTTGGGGTGTTTGGTGGAAGGAAGTGGCGACGGCAGGACAGTTTCGTTTCGCGATAAGACGAAAGTTCGCGACTGGTGCACGAGTCTCGCGAATTATCATTTTGATGAAGCAAGGCAACATCAAGGAGGAAACTGGCGATGGTTTGTGGGGCGGTGGGAAGGTGTTGGAGGAGCAGCAAAAGTACTGTACACCTCAAACTAACGAACAAGCTTGTGCTCACCAGTGTGTCGGGACACATAGTAGAGGAATGTTACGATGGTGACTAAAAGCGCGTAGTGAAAAGAAATGCTACTCATACCACCTCGATGAAAAAAAATGCGCGTAGTACCAACGGCGGCGCCGTTCCTTCAGTGTCATCCGTACAATCTTCCGCGCATCGTTTCCCCTCGGTTTTTCCCGGGCCGCGATCTCTTTGCCTACCTTCCTTGAGTACTCTCGAATCGCCAAGCCTCACCATCATGCAGCACACACTAGAGATCTAATTACCGCGCCGCTGCTAAGTCACTTTGAGGGCCGCAGAAGTGCGATAGTCTAAGAAATCCTAAAAGAGGTAAGCTCCACTTTTAGTTTTCCCCAGTCAGCCTTCTGCATTGCAGGGGGGGGTGGGGGGAATGAGCAACTTTAGGTTACATACCGAGTCGCTACGAGGTCTGGACAACCTATGAACTAGCAGAGCCCCTTGACGCAGTCTTGTCCCACTCAGCGTTGTTGTCCCGGGCCCTTCCCGTGCTGCTTTTCCTCGCCATCGTTGATACACCCACGCTCTCACTTATCCGGGCTCTAGCCAACCTACCCAGTGGCCCACCGCAGCGTGTGACCAATCTATGCGGTGACTGACCCAGCCCGTGAATGGTCTTGCCGTTACTGACCGAGCTTGCCTCACCTAGCCTGTGACTGACCTGGACATGTGCACAGGGCGACTCTAGTCTACTCTGAGTCGACTCGGCTCTGACCGATCCGAGTTAACTCGCGAGTCGAAGTAGGAACGACAAGGCCGAGATAAAGGCTGGGACAAATATGAATGACAAGGCCGACAAGGAACGACTAATAACCAGATCAGGCCGAGATTGGACCACGAAAATGAGAGATTCAGTTGCTGAACGACATGTTGCTTGACACGGGTAAATGCCGGAGACAAGCTAGTCGAGTAGAGACTAGTCAGGTGTGCTGTTTCGATCACCAACCAGGCGAGTGCCGATTCGACAAATGTCCAGCCGGGTCGGGCGATGCATTGCCCATTAGGCCGAGCCGACTTGACTCAGCGTGACAAGAAGTTGAGTGTCGAGTCAAGTGACCCTCTGAGTCGGCCAAGTCGGTCAAAACTCTACTCGCTGCTCGTATTTAACCTTGCGTGCGGTTGACCTGGCCTGTGACTGGTCGGCTGTTGTGAGTGACCCAGCCTATGACTAACCATGCTTGTGTCTGTCCTAGCTATAAGTGACCCACCTGTGGCTATTGTAGCCTAGGACCAATCTTACTTGTGTCAAGCCAACCTTGTGCTTGACCTAGCCTGTGCTTGACCTAGCCTGTGAGTGACCTAGCCTGTGAGTGACCTAGCCTGTGAGTGACCTAGCCTATGAGTGACCTAGCCTGTGAGTGACCTAGCCTGTGAGTGACCTAGCCTGTGAGTGACCTAGCCTGTGAGTGACCTAGCCTGTGAGTGACCTAGCCTATGAGTGACCTAGCCTGTGAGTGACCTAGCCTGTGAGTGACCTAGCCTCTGAGTGACCTAGTCTCCGAGTGACCTAGCCTCTGAGTGACCTAGCCTGTGAGTGACCTAGCCTGTGAGTGACCTAGCCTGTGAGTGACCTAGCCTGTGAGTGACCTAGCCTGTAAGTGACCTAGCCTGTGAGTGACCTAGCCTGTGAGTGACCTAGCATCTGAGTGTCTCAGCCTCTGAGAGTCTTAGCCCTGAGTGTCTTAGCCCCCAACTAACCTAGCCCCCAACTAAAACCCCCAACCCCAACTGACCTAGCCCCCAACTGACCTAGCCCCATTTGTCCTAGCCCCCAACTGACCAAGCCTGTGAGTCTGTGAGTCAGGATTAGGGTAAAGAGAGCGGTTTTGAAATTCCTTCTGCGCAGAAGTCTTGTGTGGATACGACATGCCGCAGCGGCTATGCAAATGAGCATGGGGCTATGTGCTCCTTTGCCTCGTAGAACGATGATCGCATATTCTCATTCACGTGCCATAGGAGCTACAGTGCCTCACCTTTCCCTCTTGCTTTCAACATCTCTCTCCATTTGCGTCTGCCTCTACTGACCTCTCTTCGCTCCACCTTTAACTAGTCCAGTGTTTCTCACTCCCTATCCACGTTTCAGAGGGAATCTTCTCTGTGCTGAACTCAAGCATTGCTGAAAACTACCTGAACTGGTTGGGAGTGGATTGGGAAATGGCTGTAGAAAGGGAGGAGAATGAGCTTAGCGAGGCAGTTAGAGGGCTGTTTGCAACAGTGAGAGGGGAACTGGCAGCAGTGAGGGAGGAGCTGGCAGTAGTGAAGGGGGAGGTGGCGGCAGCAGTGGCGGAGAAGGCGGCACAGGAGAGTGAACGAGGGTTGTTGTTCAGAGCAGGTGCGGTGTGGAGAATGCGGCGAATGAGTTGAGGCACTGGCCTTTGGCATTCATTCACGTGATTCTATGCCACCATTCTTATTCTCGTTTTGTCTCCATCCCTCTCCTCGTTAGCTCCTGTGCACACTGTGCACGACTGTCATCCCCCCTTCCCCACATCCCCCCCCTGCTGCCGCTTGTCCCCTACCCCACCTGCCTTACAGTCTGACTATCAGCTTGTTCTTTCGTGTGTGTGATTCCGCATGCTAGTCTCATCTCTACCCGTCTGTGCCCCATGCCTATGTTGTCCGCTTGTCTCGTCCTGTGCACTCAGTACAGAACCTATCTTTCCTGCCACAACCCCCCTCCCTCCTCTATTCCTGCTCCCTGAATTCATCCTCTCCTCCTGCTACACCTCACTGTGCAGGCGCACGCCCTGCATTGGGCTCGCCCCATCAGTCATGGCTCGGATGACTGCAGTGGCCATGCTGCTGCCAGGGCTGCTGCTCGCCCTCCTTCTCGCCACTGCCATCAGCATCACACCAATTGGCAGGCAGGGACGCTTCCTGTCATATGCCCGCGTATTTCCTAAACCTCACATGTCCGCATTGTTGCAATGTTTTGATGGGGTATGCATTCTCATCATTGGATGTTATCATCAGCAGCTGCCCTCACAGCTCTCCTGCTGCCCTCACAGCTCTCCTGCTGCCCTCACAGCTCTCCTGCTGCCCTCACAGCTCTCCTGCTGCCCTCACAGCTCTCCTGCTGCCCTCACAGCTCTCCTGCTGCCCTCACAGCTCTCCTGCTGCCCTCACAGCTCTCCTGCTGCCCTCACAGCTCTCCTGCTGCCCTCACAGCTCTCTTGCTGCCCTCACAGCTCTCCTGCTGCCCTCACAGCTCTCCTGCTGCCCTCACAGCTCTCCTGCTGCCCTCACAGCTCTCCTGCTGCCCTCACAGCTCTCCTGCTGCCCTCACAGCTCTCCTGCTGCCCTCACAGCTCTCCTGCTGCCCTCACAGCTCTCCTGCTGCGTAAAGCTGAAAGCTCAAAGCTCAGTTCCACTACTCTTGACTTCCTCATCCTCTTAATGCTCCACTCACATCTTCTCTCCCCAAAAAAATCCCATCCATGAGTTGCCGTGTGCCTGCGTTTCCATGTGCTGCCATGTGTAGGAAGCACGCCAATTTCCAAATGGAGAGAGTAAGTGGAGCTGTTGGGTCTGTCATGGCAATTATGGCCGGAACACACGAGCTGAAAGAGGCGATGGAGATGAGAATGAGGGCGCTTGGCATGTAGCTGGAAGAGACAAGGAAGGAGTTGGAGGAGGCTGAGAGGAAACGAGTGTCGTAGATGGGTGAGGTGAGAGGGCAGATGGAGGAGAGGGGGGAGGATTTGGCAGCAGTAAAGGGAGAGTTGGGTGCAGTGCAGGGGGAGCTGGCAGCTATGAAGAGGGATCTGGCTGAACACAAGGATGCTATGGCAGAGCAAGTGGAGGCTAGAAAGGAGTTGAGTGAGATCAGGGAAGAATTGGCAGCATTGAGAAGAGACTTGAGGAGGCAAAAGGACTTTGTGAAAAGTCAATTGGAAGAGGCTGAGAAAAGACACACAGAGAACTTCATAGAGCTGAGAGGACAGGTGGAGGAGAGGAAGAGGGAGTTGGAGAAGGCTGAGAGGAGACGAGTGGCGGAGATGGCCGTAGAATTGGCAGCAGTGAAGTGGGCGTTGGCTGGGCACAAGGATTCTATGATAGAGCAACTCCGTATGGCTGAGAGAAGAAGGGAATCTGGTTTGAAAGATCTAATTGAGGAGGTTAGAAAGAAAGAGGATGACATGAGAGCGGAGTTGGCAAGGGAGAGGGAGGAGAGGAGGAGGGAGGTGCAGGAGTTGAATTGGCCACGTGCCATGGAGGAATTGGCAGCCTGCAGGAGTTGGGTGAATGTTGAGATGGGAATTATCCGGAATGAAGTTGATTGGAAGACTGCATGGGAGGTGAGTGCTGAATGAACTGTTTTTCAGAGCAAGCATGATTTGCTGTTGTCTCGATGATCACTCCTTGCCATTCATTCTCTTTTGTATCCATCACCTCCAGCGAATCAAATCAGCATCACTAGGAACCCATCTGAGTCTGGCGAGTCTCGGCGGCCTCTCAGACGCCATGCTCGCCCATGTGTCCACAATGACCCACCTGAAGAGCATCGACTTGCGATCTACCTCAGGCTTCAGTGCAGAGGGCATGAAGCACCTGTACAGGCTGCCACAGCTGGAGACGCTAGACCTGCAATTTACAGATGTCTCAGACAGCGCCTTGGAAGGGATTGGGTCCTTGACCAATCTCGCGGAGCTCCATCTCTGGAAGACCAAGGTGACAAATGCCGGCATGGTGCATGTGGGGAGGCTGACAGGACTTGAGAAACTTCTTCTGGGTGGGATGGCAGTCACGGATGATGGGCTGCAGCAGCTGACTGCGCTGACCAAACTGGCGTTTCTCTTTCCGGCAGAAGGGGGTTACCTTATGTACGATGATGTTCGCAGGCGGATAGGCGGGTAGGGTGGCAGGGAGTGATGATGGAAAGAGAGGTGAGGTTGAGGGAAGAGTTGACTGTGACTGCAGGGAAGCTGGGGACAAGGACGAGCAAGAGAGCAGTGAGGGAAGCGAGCATAATGGACGAGCAGTAATGGAGGCGATCAGCAGTGGCTACAGCAGTGGCCACAGCAGTGGCTGCAGAAGCAGTGGCAGCAGCAGTGGTGGCAGCAGTGGCAGCAGCAGTGGCGGCAGCAGTGGTGGCAGCAGTGGCTGCAGCAGTGGCAGCAGAGGTGACAGCAGCAGCAGCAGCAGCAGCAGCAGCAGTGGGCTTGGGTTGAGATTAAGGGTGAGTAGTGTCTCGCATGGCTGCATGAGGGGAGCTGCATGAGAATTGATGGCTGTTTGGGTGCAGCGTGTACAAATGTATTCACAAAGGAGAGGGTATAGTGACAGAGTGATGGTGGGAAAAGGCGGATCAAGTGATACTGAGGAAGTCATAGACATTCAATGTGGATTGAATGGAGGTGTGTGCATGCTTGCGGCTGGGCATTGGGCAAGGCTTTGCCGGTGCACAGCTTTATAATAGTAGTTGCAAAGTTGTGCCAACCTTAGATTGCAACGTTGTGTGAAACTGCACAGGCTTTGCATGCAGGTTAGCTTCAAGTGCCGTGGTCTCGCTGGCCTGATGTTGTGTGCAAGCTAGAACATGCTCCACTTTGTCAAATTCAGAATGCTCTAACCTGTACTCATCATAATAAAAGTCCAATGCATTGGATTTGTATTAAACATAGGCATGTACTATATGCATATGCAGCAGAGCAGCTTAAAACTGAAATGCAAAATAGTGAACCCGTCTCCAGCTTGAAAGAGCTTGTCGAGTGAAACAATTTTCAAACCAAACCGACAGGTTTGCATTGTTTCATTGGGAGCGTTCGAACAGATCGAACAAATCTGATTGGTTCCCGCCAAAACCGAAGAAAGAAACACAGCACGTCACGCGTCGCAAACTTGCGACGTATTTGCGCATGCTTGCGACGAATTTTGTACCGTCATCACCCGGATATAAGACAGTGTTGAATAGTAGGCAGGGGTTGTCTACTATACGGGTGTCTCTTATAAACAGGCTAGCCTCATTATAAAACACCTATTTGTGTGTACGAGATAAGACATATATGTCTTATAATCGAAACTTCAATAAATTATAGCGAAAGTTGAAATACCGCGTACATTTTTACCCTTGCGAAGCGCGAATTCTTCCACGCGCTGACCCAGGACCTACTAAATTTGCCCCTGCAGGTGTTCTCCATAACGTGGCGTCCCGGGCAGAGGTTGTCGAAGTGGCACCTTCGCAACATCCACACTCATTATGAGAAACTCTTTTTCAAGAAGTACGGAAAATATTTCTAAGTAGTTTAAAAAGTTTCCATTTATAAGACTTATAAGACACCCTAAACCATCCCGTTTACAAGATAACTCAAGCATTTTTGCCCGTGTACGAGATAAGACATATATGTCTTATATCCGGGCGATGACGGTAGTTTTTTCTGTGAAGTCGAACGTGTGTGAAAAACACAACAGAACAACACTTCGAATTTCAGAAGCATTCCAAAGTTAGTATGAAATTTCAAGTGGACCCACTAGAAGGGGGGGGGGTCACTATTTTAGCTGCTGGCTTTAAATATGACCTTAGCTGAGGTGGTTGGCTGGGCATGATCCATGGGATGCCGGCAGTTTTAAAGCAGAAGTGGGTCTGTGCCTGCATGGGAAAGGGTAGTAGTAGTCACCCATGCTGCTGCATGAACCACCCAATTGACCTACCGTATTCACTGGCATGCTGAAGGCAAGGCCTCAGATTTCACCGAAAAAAGGCTGATTTAGGTAAAAAGGGCTGAGATTTCAGACTAGTTTTAAGAACCAGGACTGATTTTTCAGCCATTTTTTGGAAAAGAACAGGAAAAACTATGAAGTTTATAGTGTAAATGGCATAAGATGGCTAATTTGTCTGATTTTCAGCATAGATTTTTGTACCAACTCTGATTTTTCAGACTAGCCGAAAACAAATCTGAGGCCCTGGCTGAAGGCCTGTAGTATGTGATTAGTCTTATATCACATTAATGGTTCTCACTATGACTTGATCTGCTTCAGAATGCATGGTTAGTACCGGTATACGGGAAGACAAAAGAATCCGATTGCTGCCACATCTGCACCTCCTTACCACAGCCACACTCCACCCACTCAATGTACTCCATGGCTGGTTACTTGTGCCTCATCGTATGAGGGATGCTAAAGAGAATAGGAAGAGAAGCGACCGTGCGTAGGGATACATAGTATGGGATGGGGTACGGGATGAGGGTTGGGATGAGGTGTGGGATGAGGTGTGGGATAATGTGTGGGATGAGGTGTGGGATGAGGTGTGGGATGAGGTGTGGGATGAGGTGTGGAATGAGGTGTGGGATGAGAAAAATATATGAGGTATGGGATGGGGTGTGGAGGTGTGGGATGAAACGCACGAGCACAGATGTCTCGACAGGCATGCCTCCTCATGTGGCACACATGTGGAGCACCCCAACCATCCGCCCATGTGGCACACATGTGGAGCACCCCAACCACCCGCTCATGTGGCACACATGTGGAGCACCCCAACCATCCGCCCATGTGGCACACATGTGGAGCACCCCAACCATCCGCCCATGTGGCACACATGTGGAGCACCCCAACCATCCGCCCATGTGGCACACATGTGGAGCACCCCAACCATCCGCCCATGTGGCACACATGTGGAGCACCCCAACCATCCGCCCATGTGGCACACATGTGGAGCACCCCAACTATCCGCTGAAGACCATTCGATGTGGGATGCTAGCTATCCTCACTCCACCAGCCTCACCACCCTCCATCCCATGCCTTCATGGGGTGGCGACTGCTAGAAGCAGCTGAGGGCGGATAATGGGAGGGCAGGGGAAGAAAAGGTGTTTGAGGGTGAACAAACTTGAGAAGCGATTGGAGTGAATGCGGATCCTCTCTGTTTCCAGCATTAACCAACCTCCAAAAAGGAGGGCGAGGCATGTGTAGGGGGCGGGGGAAGGAGGAGCGAGGGGCAGCGTGAAATATAGCCCCGAGACAATCCAATGAGCAGCACAGAAGAAGGGCGAGAGGGGCATGTTGGGCAGAGTGCTCCTGATTGCCCCCCTTCTCCACAACTCTCGCATACCCTCTCCCCCTTCCCCCTTCTGCCCAAGTCCTACCTTATTTGCCATGGCCGCTGCCAATGCTGCTGCAGCAGCAGGCATGGAGAGCCTAAGTGGTTCAACTGAAATGCAGGAGGGCGAGTGGGGCATGGGGGGCGGGGCTGAGGGAGCAGATTGTCATGGTGCAGTTGCTGTGGGAGGGAGGCATGGGGTTGTCCGAGACTCTGAAGGTGCAATAGCGGTGATGATGCTGCTTGGTTGGGATCTGGGGGGAGCCGATCCGAGGGTGATGGTGGGCAGAGGAGGATGACGTGAGATGGGGATGAACAAATGGTTCATCTACAGAGTGAATGGCAATAAAGGAAAGACAGTTGATTCGGAAGCGGGTGTGATGGGTGAAGTGGAGGATGCGATGATTGAAACGGGGTGAGTGGAGAACTCAAGAAACTGGGAAGTGGGAGATGAGGTAGTACAAAGGGGATATGGCAGCGAGGGAGTGGTACAAACGATCGGGATGGAACGAGAGGGGGTCAGAACAACAGAGGGAGGTTGGAGGGCTGTGGGAAGGGGTGCGGGGGGTGCGGAGGAGGGGATTAGGACACGTACCTTCCCTCGACCGATCGTGCAATATTGATCCTCCACCACACTGAACTCCTGCTTGATAAATTTTACAACAAGCAGAACCTTCTCGAACCCCGCCAAATATCGATCCTGCGCAGGATCGATCGAGGGAGGGGACGCGTCCTTGGGAGGTGGGGGAAAGGGAGAAATGTAAAGGTGGCTTGGAAGGAAGAAATGTGAAGGTGGCTTGGAAGGAAGAGACGGGTACTGCAAGCGGATGGGAGGGGATTATTGCCGATAAAGCGAGTTGAAATAACGTTTGCATGTGAGAAAAACCCGTGTCTAGCAGGGGGAGGGGGGAGGCAGTGGGTTGGATTGTTGTGGAGATTCTGAAGTGAAGCAATCCAGTGGGTATGATGGTGGTGGTGGAGACACATGCCACTGCAGTGAGGGAATGTCTGTTACGAAGCGATTGCTACATAAAGGTGTGCATTCAAAATGATACTGTGAAGTGCTTGTTACAGTGGGAGGAGGGGGGACAACGAAATTGATTAAGCAAACTCAAGGTGAATGTTGGAAAAGCACCCCAACACAACATTGAGAAGTGTACAGTTAAGCACATACTGACACAGTCTCACATCCATGACTTAAGTAAGGGGGGAAGATGTAGCAGCTTCAACGGTTTACGGATGAGATCTCAAGAGGACGATTCTATCTCGTCCATCATTCTGGTGGGGCAGGGTGTGGCAGGGTGTGGCAGGGTGTGGCAGGGGCACAGTGCCGTCAATCACTCACATCCTATGCAGCTCCTCTCACCTTCGTGTTGGGCACCACCACTCGCCCCCCACAGTCAGCTGAGAGGTCCATCGCATTTATTCCAGCTGCTGCCTGCCATGATGCAGAGGTGCATTCACATTCACCCACCATGACGATGAGAATGATGAGAGGGACTCGCGGTGACACACGAGCAGCACGCAGAAGAATTGGTTGTGTTTCGCCATCCCTCTCCTCCCCAAATCCAAACGTGTGTCTGTACATCACAGAACGAGGGCCTTTCGAACCCTAGTAATAACGTCCTTTGCCTTGGCTCACAACCGCGAATGCTTTCATTGATGATGCTTTGAAGGAAGCTGAGGGATGGACGGGAGATTGGTGTAGTCCCAGCTGGGAAGCCCTGAGGAATGGCATGGTGATCATGCAGCTAATATACCTTGGTCCAGCCCGGTAGCAATCAGCTTCCTGCCTGCCTGGAACCAGGCCAGGAATACACCCTAAGTCAGGAACACACCCTAGGTCAAGAACACGCCCCAGGCCCGCGCAGGCAAGACTGTGGTGGATGTCGTGCTCATTGATGGCCGCCAGTATGTGCCTGCAGCACCTCTTCATTCTTCGCACGCCTAAAAGCCTGGCATGATCAGCGGGCTGTCAGTCACACTGTGGCTGCTGCCTCACACCTCTCGCCCTTGCCTCCCTCCCGTGCCCCTGACCCCACTCACCACTGACTGACTTCACCGCTATGAGTGCCGCTGCTGCTGCTGCCCGTGGCTCTGCCATGCTGCCCGGCTGTGTGCCACAGAAAGGAGTTTGCTCCATAAGAGTAGTCCATTGAAGGTGCTGTTGGTGTGGGAAGGGGAAGGGAGTGCTGGCGAGTGGGGAAGAAGGCGAAGGATGAAGGAACGTACTGCTGAGCGAGGAGAAGGAAGTGGAAGATAGCTGCTGATGGCATTACACTCAGGAAATCAGTGCTCTCATTCATCCTCCCATCAGTACTCCAGCGCCAGAAGCACCATGCTGGGCGCGGATGGCATTGCATACGTTCAAGCTGAGATTCAATCTGCTGTGGCAGCACACTGACACCAGAAGTGCTGCTCTGGTTGGAGATGGCACCAACCGAGGGACAGAGAACGTGGATCACACAGTTCATTTGGCAACGTGGCAAAGGTACCTTCCATCCCACTCGGCTTTGCTCACCTCCTCGCTGGCACCATCGTCAACCTGTTGCTGTCCATCGGAAAGCCGTCAGCACAGGCCGTCAGCTGAGAAGGAGCCCATACATATTCCACCTGCTTCCACCATGCAGCGGCTCGTCTGCCCAATGCGGCGACGGCATCAACCCCACCTGTTCAGCCCCTGTCTCGTCTCGCCCTGCTGCTTTAGCCTCATTGCCCAGCCTGCACCTATAGCCCTGATTTTACCCCTGCTTGTCTAACCCTATTGTTCAACCCTGCTGGTTTATGCCTGTCTATCCAATTTAGTTTAGTAGCCATGAGATGAGGCACAAAGGGCCTGTGAGTGAAGGCCAGTGAGATGAGGCAGTGAAGCGAGCAAAAATGGACACAAGGGGATGCGAGGGAACTAACAAAAGAGGCACAAGGGTATGTGAGTGAAGCTATAAAAATTGGCACAAGGGTTCAGGCGTGAAGTAAGCACCAAGTGCCACAACAGGCTGTGGATCAAGCAAGCAAAGTCAAAGTGTGCGGTGAGCGTGGATCGAACACACGATCTTCAGATCTTCAGTCTGACGCTCTCCCAACTGAGCTATCCCCGCACATCTGGAATTGCGGGGTATCTATTCCGGTACCTCTTGCATGCTAAGCGAGATCTCTACCATCTGAGCTACATCCCCGTGGGAGGCCATTGAGGGCCCTTCACCGATGGCTTGGATTGCAGGAGAGAGTAGGAGAGGATGAATGTAGCATAGGAGAGGATGGGAGAGTAAGAGGGGGGAGAAGGAGGGGAGGAGGGAGAGTAGAATGAGGAGGCAGCAGTGGCACCGCAGCCAGCAGCAGAGTGAGAGTGCATAGCCACTGGTCAATGCCATGTGACTCACCGGCTGGTTTCGATTCGATGAGCCTGAGGCTTGTTACGGAAGGGAAGTTGAAGCTTTGACCAGGCAAGGACGAGCAAATGTCGGACCCCTCTTGCTGCTGTCTCTGTTCATTGGTGTGGTGGTGGGTGTTAGTGGTCACACCCGCGGTGATGCTGGTGGTGCTGCTACTGGAGCTGCATTTGCTGTTGCTGCTGGTGCTTTTGCAACTGCTCATCTATTCAACTTCAATCCTCCATTGTCCTGAAACACAGAAGAGGGATCGGAGAGAAGTGAAAAGCAGGATGATACCACGGAATGCCATGAAAGCAGAAAAAACGGGACCGAAAACAATGGAAGGGCAGTGAAAGCAAATTAAGGGTAAGGGGGTGGGCAGTGGGAGAGAGCGGTACGACAGCCCAGCAGGGTCGAGATGTGAATGTCAGTGAAGTGGGTGAGAGAGAAATGGTGAGAGATGGGAGGAGGGGGGGGAGGCACGTGGCTATGTATTAAAAACTTTGTAATCAAGGGCGGTGAGTGATTGAGTTGGGGGAGGGTTGCCAGTGGGAGTTGCAGGTGGGACAGCCCAAGAGGGACCAGTGGGACATGCGAGTGAGGCGGGTAAGCGAGAGTTGGTGAGTGATGAGAAGGGGAGGGGGGGGGGGGAGGGGGGAGAAGGGAGCGATGCTGTAGGATGTTGGACCCTGTTAGTCCCGCTTGAACACCACCAACGGTCCCACATCCGCATCCACAGAAGTGGCAATGGAGCACACACAGAGTACCTGAGAAGTGGCAATGGAGCACACACAGAGTACCTGAGAAGTGGCAATGGAGCACACACAGAGTACCTGAGAAGTGGCAATGGAGCTCACACAGAGTACCTGAGAAGTGGCAATGGAGCACACACAGAGTACCTGAGAAGTGGCAATGGAGCACACACAGAGTACCTGAGAAGTGGCAATGGAGCACACACAGAGTACCTGAGAAGTGGCAATGGAGCACACACAGAGTACCTGAGAAGTGGGAGAAATGGCAAGAGGATGGGAGGCGGGAATGGGATGGGAAGGGGTTGGTAATGGGGATGGGATGGGGATGGAGATGGGGATGGGGATGGGGAAGGGGATGGGGATGGGGATGGGGATGGGGATGGGGAAGGGGAAGGGGAAGGGGATGGCGGAGCAATGATGGAGAGTGAAATTTTCGCTATGCACACCAAGAGGGTGACCTGAGGGTGACCTGAGGGTGACCTGAGAGTGACCTGAGAGTGATGAGATAAAGGGGCTGCCTCCACCATGACATCAAAAGGGTGGGCACAAGAGGCAGAGCCAATAGCAGTGGTGGCGCGCCAGGGGACAAATGAGAGCACAGACCTGATTGGGTAGAGGCAGGTTCGATACAAGGCACTCACCTCAGTGTAGAGGTGAGTGATTGTTGATCGGCATGTCAGTGCAAAGATGGCAGGGGATGGACGCTGCTGGCTGCACCATGCACACCAGGTGGGTGGCTGGGGGAACGGGTGGCGAGACGGAGAGAGAGAAAACCGGGAGGTGGGTGCATGATCGGCGGATTGGAGCAGACTGATGGACGCTGTTGGCTGCACCATGCACACCTGGTGGGTGATTAGTGGAAGGGTGGCCGAGAGAGAGAGACCAGTGAGGTGGTTGAAGGATAGGCGGCGAGTGATGGACGCTACTGGCTACAGTATGCACCTGGGGAAGGGGGGATCGCTATGAGGATGGGGATGGGCAAGTGGAAAGGCATACAGGCACAGGGCATGCGAATTCATGGCATTCAGAAGAAGAGGCACCTTGAAAAACACCACCACACTCATGGCATTAAGACTCTCGCGGATCAGCCTGAAACACAGCTGAATCACCTGACAGTCACCTGACTGACCTGAGAGTGACCTGAGGCTGACCTACTACTGACCTGAGCTGAGACTGACCCATAGGTGACCCACCTTCCTCGCACTACCCACACACACCTCCTTCACCCACCAGTGACGAGTAGCAGTGAGCAGCAGTAGTGACCCATGACAGCCCACCTCCTTCCTCGCCCCCCGCACCTCCTCTCCTCCTACCTCAGCTCATCCTTGCAGAACAACACCGCCACGAGACACCCAGTAGCCCGCAACACTCGTGCACCTCCGCCACATCAGCAGCCCGTAGGGTGCCCGTGAATGAACAGTGCGCCCACGCTGGAAGGGTTGGAGTCCGTGTGGGGCAGAATCCAGGAGTCGGTGCAGGAGAAGCAGGTGTGGAGCTGGTGGGAGTGGGAATGGGAGAGGAGAGAGGGAGAGGAGTGAACAGCACAGTAGTGTATGAGAGGAGTACGGGAGAAAGTGCCGTGGGGGCGCGGGTCCGAGCAGTGGGGCAGAAGTAAGTGTTGGAGACGTAGGTGCGGTGCTGGATAGCGGGGGAGGGGAGGAAAAGGAGCGGAAGGGAGCAGTGCGATGCTTGTATCGCTTTTGAGAGTTCTCAAGACAGTAAGAAACGAAATGTGGACCAAAGGTGGGAAACAATGCTGGAAGCTGAGAGAAGTGGCGAGAGTGGGTGCAGTGAGTGCATTCAGTGCATTGAGTGCAGTGGGGCAGGCAGAAGACAGCTCGGGGTAACAGGCACGGAGCTGGGGTGGGGGGGAGGGGGGGAATTGGGAGAGGGAGGGAGCGAGGAATGAGGAAACAAACGGAGCAACAGCACGGTGCGACAGTTAGCATGAGGGTTCTGGCGGGCAGGAGCAGCCAGTAAGGACTTTGGGGAAACGACGGGCTCAGCTGGGACGGGGGAATAAATATTCTAAGTGCGACTCGGAATCCATTCGGGTTTGGGGCAGGTGGACGACAAGTGGGCGAGTAGGAGACACAGGCACACACACAGCTGAGGGGGCAATCACTACGTTTCCATCAGCAGAGCCGCTGGCGGTGGAGGTGCGGTGCGATCATTGGCCGTCTTGACACCCGCGGATGATGCCCCCACTCGCACATCGCAGGCCCAGCCATTCCAATTCGACCGCGTGTATTCAACGGGACGAGTCCCGAGACGGGTGGCATTGTATAGAGCAATTTCACCTCCCCCTCCACCCCCCCCCCCCCCCCCCCCCCCAAAAAAAAGGTGGACTCACCATGGCCATTGCCATGGCAAAGGCTTGGCCGAACAGCCGACACTCCAGACTCGAGGCCCCTTCCTACATGGTCTACCACTCTTGAAAAGCTCCATCCTCCGTCCCCTCGCTCTCAGCATTCCGCTCCTTCCGTTCTTGATCGCCACGTTATGTGAGGGCAGCATCCATCTTTCCCATGCCTTGCTGTGCTCCCTCACGCGGCAATACAGCTCGTTGCTGCAGAGACCTGCCTGCCCCTTCTCTTCTCGTCCTTTCCTTCCGCAGCTCGCCTCCACCAAGCAGGTGTCCCCCCGTCACCCACGTGTGCCAGCCAGATCCGGTGCAGCATGCTCACACGCCCACGCCTCACGATGCCCCACTCCTGCCTGCTTGTGCCCCTGCGCCATCCCTCGTCGTCTCACTCCTGTCTGCTCCATTCTTCCATTCTGTCTAACCCCCACCTTCGCTTTGACGGCCGCTCGTCAGCTCTGGTCACTGCACCACTCTTGACCCTGCTGCACTGCACCCCACGTCAGCACCCAGTGCCGCTTCGCCGGCTGCTGCTGCTACTGCTGCCGAGTCCTTGGATACCAATGGCACGCAGTGGCGTGCCGTATGTACATTGGAGGATGCAGAAGAGATGTTGACGCAGTCACATTCGGTTGACCCACGATCGTCATTTCAAGGCACAGCTGGCGTGTTATCGCTCGCCTCGACTTGGAGGCCACGTCCCCCCCCCCCGTCGGCGCTTTTGCGAAGCTACCGAGAATTTCCCTGTTTCGTTCGTCCCACTCGCTCCCCGCCTGCGATCCTCCACTCGCTCCTGAGCGGCTGCTGCTCCCTCTATGCCGCCAAGCCCGCGAGCGCCACGGCCCTGCGCCGTGCTGCCCATTGATGCGGACAGGGGAGGTGCCACACTCGCATCGCATGACACATTGTAAGCTGCTTTTGCAAATGCGAAGCGTCGCATGACAGCAGAGAGTGTCACGTCGCAGGCGATCGCAAACGGCGCAGCAGTAATCACGGGACACGCCTTGCACCGTTTCGAATGTGAGCCGTCAGTTAAGAGCACATAAAAGGGAATGCCACTACTGCTAGATAAGCGCGGCTTGCTCGCAGTAAAAGGGAGTCAACGCCGACGTCGCTCATCGGGCTTGACTCCATTCTCCAGCAGCAGCTGGTGCGCTGCGTCTGACGTGGACAGCTTGCCGCCGCTCGCCATAGTAAGCGGCTTGGGAAGGAGAGGTGGGTCATGCTACCGCACTCCTACCATCGACCATCACGAGGAACAGGCTTGAGCATCGAGCGTGCGAAGCACTGAGCTTTTAGCATTGAGCGCGCATATGGGCCTGCAGTCCCGTATGCGACACGAAATTGGCAGTCCAGGAAAACGGAGAACCCGGGTCGCGTTAATGTGGTGCACATTTGCCACCCGAAACCCTAAACCCTGACGAACTGTTACTGCAGAGGAAAATTGTCTACACGAAATCCAGGTTTTCGCCAGCCAACACTTTCGCGCTGGCAAGCCTGGTTCAAAACAAAAACTTCTGAACCTCCGCCAGGCAAATCTAGACCCTCGTTTTAACGTCACAATAGTTTTTCAGGCCTCGTTCAAACTCAGTCTAGGCTTCAAGGTCGCTGCTTTCCGTCCTTCTATAGATCCTTAGTAATCTCGTCTGCTAGGGAAATTATGGAGACAGCGACACATATTAACGACCTTCCCGACGACGTCCTCGCTAGGATTCTATGGCATTGTGAAGAGTCAACACCTCCTAAATTCGACAGTGACGCGTTATGGTCTCGGCATTCATTGTCGGAGAAGCCATTGTACCTTCACTCGGTCGTTTTAGATGAAGATTTCAGCCCCGACGAAGAGTCGTATCCAGTATCGTCCCCCTCCGCCGGTCCAAGCGCTGCCAAGATCTTCCTTGTGTCGTCTGTGTGCCGTCGCTGGCGCGATGTAGCTCACCGTGACGTCTCCACGCTGCTCGTCGAACGAAAGCATGCCATTGCCCTCCAAAAACTCTCAGATGCCGTCGCGTGCTTCCCTAATCTCAACCATCTCCATCTGTGCGATTACAGCGTGGAAACCCTAGACGACACCTTCCTCAATCACCTCGCATCAGCGTGTCCTAAGCTCAAGATTCTTCACGTGGGACGCGAAATCGCTCACCATCCGGACTATGTTGGACCGAAGCATAAGCGCCCCATCACCGAAGCTGACCTGGATCGCTTCTTCCAGCGATGCACTCAGCTGGAGCAGCTTTCACTGCGCTGCCTCCATCGGGACGTCCACCTACCCGCTTCCTTCTTCCACCTCACGCGTCTACACACCCTGGCTTTAACAGCCGCCTCCGCCTTAGAAGCTCCAGATCTGGACAGCCTCGCTTCTCTCACCACTCTCCATATCGCCTCCCCGGAGTTGAACGAGGAGCAGCTGGCCAACGTGCGTCGTCTTCCCAACATCACCAGCCTTTCACTCTCTGCCGGGACCTCGTTTTCTCCTCATGGCTCGGCTGCCTTAGCCATCGCACAGCTGCCGTTGATCAAATCGTTGGACACTCGCCACGTGTTGCTGTCGGATTGGCCAGTGACAAGTCTTGAACGGCTGCAGATATCATATTGCGGAGAATTGAAGCGGTTTCCGGACAGCATTGCGGAGTTGCTGCCGCGTCTGCGTGAGCTGACCGTTTCCAGGTGCGAGGCCTTTGAGGAGCTGCCCGAGGGTTTCTGTTCCCTGGAGCACCTCGAGACCTTGTCAGTCATCGAATGCGACTTCGAATTTCGCAGCCTGCCTGAAAACATCGGGAGATTGACTGCCCTGAAAACTTTGGTTCTGGATCATCTGCCGCTGGCGAGCCTACCTGCCTCCGTTTGCCAGCTCAGCTCCCTGGAGACCTTCTTCCTGCTCTCGTGCGACTCAATCCGCGAGCTGCCAGCAGGTTTTTGCTGCCTCACAGCTCTCACGACTCTCTGCCTCGGGCGAGTGGCGCTTCCAGCGGACATAGGCCGCCTGAGTAACCTCCACACCCTGCTTGTGAGAGATAGCCTCGAGCATTGGCATCTGCCGCCCTCGTTATCCGAGATCACGTCGCTGACAAGGCTTGAGCTGGACGAGTGCGGCGTGGAGGAGCTGCCAGAGGGCGTGGTGGGAGCGCTCTGCAACCTGCGCCAGCTGCACGTCTCATACTGCCCTCCGCTCACGGCCCTTCCAGCATCTGTGACGTGCCTGACTGCCCTTGAAGCTCTCTCACTCGCTTACTGCCATAATCTGGCCTCGGCGCCCGCGAGGCTGGACGGCTTGACACGGCTCAAGTGGCTGGAGGTGGCCCAATGTGACAAGCTCACAAGGCCTCCTCTAGTCTTGCCGCCTTCCATTGAATGGCTGAGTTGGGGAGGTCGCAGGCAGGCCATGGCTCTGCCAGACATGTCCGCGCTGACGGGGCTTCGAACGCTTCGCCTGGACGTTGTTGCGGTGGCATGTGGGGTCGCTGTGAGCAGGAGCCTATCGCACCTGGAGCATTTGCAGCTGAGTTTGGCCGGCGATGCGGAGGAGCTTCCATTCGCCTTGACGTTTCTCTCCCGCCTGCGCACCCTGATTGTTGAGAGCGCAAGGCTTGTCCGGTTGCCGGCCGATATCGGGTCAGCAGTGCCGCAGCTGCGGAAGCTGAGCCTGATAAGAGCGTGTTCCTACGGCCTCATATCAGGCAACCTCGTATCAGATTCACGTCGAACCGCACTAAAACGCATCCAACCACAGTCGAACACACTGAAACGTATTTCACCGCGCGAAGCTGATACGAGGTGTTTCTGATACGAGGTGTAGGAACACGCTCTAAGTGCGGGCGAGTTGAGGGAGCTGCCAGCGAGTGTGACTGCGCTGCAGAACCTGACGTTCTTGGGGGTTTACGCTGCGGCCAAACTGGCTTCTCTTCCGGATGACATCGGTGCCTTATCCCGGTTGCGCGAGCTGCACCTCATTCGCTGCGAGCAGCTTGAGCATCTGCCTGCCTCTCTCACCCAGCTTGCCCGCCTGACCCAGCTGTCAATCTCAAGCTGCCCCATCCGCTCCCTGTGTCCCACCTTTTCCCAGTTCACGCGGCTCAGATCCCTCTGTTTCTCAGGCTATGCGCAGCTGGAGGCATTGCCAGGGGGGTTTGTGTGAGGTGAAGGCACTGCGGATGTTGGATGTGGAGGAGTGCGGGCATGTGAAGGACAGTGATGGGTCTGTGCTCCCCAGAAGCATCAATGAGGTGTATGGGCTGAAAATATCCACTTAGGTAAGCATCATTAAGGTACTATGGCATGTAGCATCTCTTTGTTAGGCTGTTTCGTTAGCTGTGATGTGATGAGATGACTCTGAGGTGGGCAGTGCGCATAGAAGGCAGAGAATGAATAGAATCGTAGGAGTTAGGGAGGGTTTTGAACGCCTGGAGGAATGGTGCTGAGGGTGATTACTTCAGTGGCTGACTGCCGCTGGTGGCGTTTACCACCACTGCCATCTATGTTACTGCCTTCGCGGTACTGCCGCAATTCTCATCACAACTGTCATCACATCCTCGTCTCAGCCTCAATCTTGTACTACTACCCATATCATTGGCCTCCTCACTTAGAAACAACAAGCATCCAAGTGAATAATCACTGGGCCGGGTCATGCCTAAAACGTCAGGTGTAGTACGGTATAGTAGGGTACATGCACCGCATATGTTTTGGAACGGCTGAACTCTTCCGGAATTTCTGCTCTGCACCAAGCCCCATGATCACAATCAGCCTGGACACAATCTGCCTGCACTGCCCCTCAGCGCTGCCTGCTGCAACAGGTTCTGCAGGCGCACGCAGCACCATTCCCGCCAGGCCATTTGGGCCCAGAAAGGAGGAGCAGGAGGTGGGAGATGCGCCACTGATGCTGCCATTGCCGCTGCTGACAGCACTGCGGCTGATGCCGCTGCTGGTGGTGCTCGTGCTGGCGGCTGTGGGTTCAGAAACGATTGGCTGATGGCAGCAGACAGGGGGAAGCGTCTTGGTTTGTAAAGGAGGCGCATGAGGCGGGAGATGCCGCCGTTGCCGCTGTTGATGGCTCTGCTGTTGCTGCTGCTGCTGGCGGGGTTCGTGCAGGAGGGAAGGGGGAAGAGAGTATTCACGCCCTCCAGAGGGAAGGGGGAAGAGAGTATTCACGCCCTCCAGAGGGAAGGGGGAAGAGAGTATTCACGCCCTCCAGAGGCAGCGACTGGCTGTCGATGATGGCAAGGTCTGTCCTGATTCAGGTGCATGTGATGCGCGGAAAAGGGGGAGGAAGGGGAGGACAAGGGGAAACGGGGAGGGGGGAGGGAAAACGGAGGAGGAGGAGAGGGGAAGGGGAGGGAAAGGGGAGTGTTGGGGGGGAGGGGGGGGGGAGAGGGGGAGGAGAGGGTTAGGGGCGGGGAGTAGGGGAGAGGGCGAGGCTGAGGTGATGGGACGGGGGCAAAAGGAAAGGAAAAGGGAAGCGGACAAGAAGGGGAACTTTACCTAATTAGGAAATGACAGAAGAGCTTTACATAAGGGATAGCGCATAACTATGGTATTTGGAAAGGGAGAGGAAGCAGAGGGGAAGAAGAGAGAAAGGGGGGGAAAGGGGAGGTAAAGATGAGGGGAAGGGAATGGCATGCACCCCCACTCAACCATGCACTGGTACCATATGCCCACACACGCCATGCACACACCATACCATGCACTGGAACCCACGCACACACCATGCACATGCACACACCATGCACATGCACACACCATGCACATGCACACACCATGCACATGCACACACCATGCACATGCACACACCATGCACATGCACACACCATGCACATGCACACACCATGCACATGCACACACCATGCACATGCACACATACCACTCACCCACCCACCCAACCACTCACCTCACCATGCGAATCTTGTGGCTCGTATTTGCCAAGACGATGCTCGGGCTCCGCTGCTTCTTAGCGCCTCTGCTGGTTTTCTCCTCGACTGACATTCCTGTCTTGGCAGCTCGGCCATGCCGTACCATGCCACGTGCCCACAGCCCCACAGTCAGAGTCAACACACACTAGCTGTATAAGAGAGGGGGGAGGGCGGGAAGGAAGAGAGAAGGGGTGAGGGGGCGTACGAAAGCAGGGCAGCAAGGGACGCAGACATGAGCAGATGAACACACTGCCTGCACCGCACCAAGGGGGTGACGGCGGGGGGGGAAGGGGTGGGTAAAAGGGGATTAAGGTTATTACCGGATAAATCTGCATGATTGTACCCTGATAGGAAAGAAGGACGAGGAGGAAGGACGAGAGGGAAGAAGGGGGAAGGGGAAGGGGAAGAGGTAACGAAGTAAGCACAACAATGGAGGCAGGCGGGCCAGAAACAAACTGCCAGCGCACATAAGCTGAGTGTGAGAAGGGGGAACAGAGAGGACGGGAAAAGGGGAAGGGATAACACAAGGCCGCAACAGTATATTGGTACTCTTTTCAAGGAATATGGCATATCTGCTTGGCACAGGAATAGGCGGGGTCACCCGAGACGTGCCCAACAGGCATGAGCACGTGCCGGGCCTGGGTCGGCTTGCTGGGCATGAGCCCACGGCTCGGCCCGTGCTCATGGCTGGGCCATATCTGCTCGCTCCCACACCCCCCCTGCTCGCGCCCAAACCCCCCCTGCTCGAGCCCTCACCCCCCCTGCTTGCACCCACATCCCCCCTACTTGCGCCCACGCCCCCCCTGCTTGCGCCCACACACCCGCCTGCTCGCTCCCACATACCCTCCTGCTCGCGCCCACACCCCCCTGCTTGCGTCCATACACCCAGCCTGCTCGCTCCCACAAACCTCCCCTTCCCGCGCCCACACACCCACCCCTCTTTCTCGGGCCCACACCCCCCTTGCTCGCATCTACACCCCCCTTGCTCGCACCCACCCACCCACACACCCCCCTGCTCGCGTCCACAACTCCCCCTTTTGCTGTGCCCACAAAATGTGACACGCAGTGTGTGCAGCTTGGGTCGCATCGCATGCATCACTGAGTCACTCACACTGACCTGCCCAATTCGGACCGGAATCTGGCCCGGACCGGCCCAGCCTGACACCAGAAACCCCGGGCCGCAACTCGGGCCACGTCCAGCCTGGAGTGCTGAGCCGGGCCAGCCCGACAGTTATACAATTTCGCCGCAGCCCAGCCCACGGCCAGGCCCATGTTCATGTATCATATCAAATGTACCCCATACAGTGCACGTGCATAGCTCCCCGCCTCGCTTGCTGAAACCCCAAGCCACGCCACCACCATCTCGCGTCCCTCCCCCACCTCCTGCCCTACCCACACCCGTCTCCCCACACCTCTCCCCGTTCAGCTGAAGCTTGGGACAGAGCGCATGTCAAACGCACCTGACCGCCATGGCGTGCTCAAGGGCTGCTTCCGAGGGCTGGTACAGACGGCTGGTACAGACGGCTGGTACAGACGGCTGGTACAGACGGCTGGTACAGACGGCTGGTACAGACGGCTGGTACAGACGGCTGGTACAGACGGCTGGTACAGACGGCTGGTACAGACGGCTGGTACAGACGGCTGGTACAGACGGCTGGTACAGACGGCTGGTACAGACGGCTGGTACAGACGGCCTGGTACAGACGGCTGGTACAGACGGCTGGTACAGACGGCTGGTACAGACGGCTGGTACAGACGGCTGGTACAGACGGCTGGTACAGACGGCTGGTACAGACGGCTGGTACAGACGGCTGGTACAGACGGCTGGTACAGACGGCTGGTACAGACGGCTGGTACAGACGGCTGGTACAGACGGCTGGTACAGACGGCTGGTACAGACGGCTGGTACAGACGGCTGGTACAGACGGCTGGTACAGACGGCTGGTACAGACGGCTGGTACAGACGGCTGGTACAGACGGCTGGTACAGACGGCTGGTACAGACGGCTGGTACAGACGGCTGGTACAGACGGCTGGTACAGACGGCTGGTACAGACGGCTGGTACAGACGGCTGGTACAGACGGCTGGTACAGACGGCTGGTACAGACGGCTGGTACAGACGGCTGGTACAGAGCTGCCCGGTTCGCTTCCTGCAAGTCCATGCCACCACCACCTCGCCCCTCTCCGCCACCTCCTACCCCACCCACACCCATTTCTCCCCCCACCTCTCCCCATCCGGCCGAAACTTCGGGAAGAGCGCAGGTGAGACGCACCTGAAAGCCCTGGCGTGCTGGAGGGCCGGTTTGGAGGATTGAGGAGTAGTGGAGGAGCAGGAGGAGTACATGCGGGGTGCAGTGCAGCAGCTGGTGGGTCACCACCGTGTGAGTGAACTCGATCACGTTGGACACACGATGCGGAATAATTTGCCGAAGCATCCCAGTTGAATTGGCCTCCCAGCATCCCAGCAGCCCAGCAACCCAGCAGCCCCGGATGGCTCGGCCTGAATGGATTGATGCACGTGCGAGGTGATACAGCGACCCAGTTGGTAGGAATAAGGGGGGGAAGGAGGGGGGAAAGAAGGAACAGGGGGGGAGAGGAAAAAGGTGAGAACGAGTGAGTGGGAGGCAAATAAGGAGTGTTGAAGGTCGCAAGGGAGATAAGTCATGGCATGTGCGAGTTGATGTGACTGTTTGTTTAGCTGGGCTGGAAGGGAGGGGAGTTGAAAACTTGAGACACAAAGAAATAATGGTGAGAAGGGGCGGGAGGACAGCTGGTAAGGAAGGGCGACTCTGCCCTTCAACACTCCCTCACATGAACGCCTTTGACGGGAGCGATTCACATGAAGGTTAGCACAGCTCACTCACCACCATTGCCACTGAACACCACCCCTTGACACCCACCATCAACCCCCATGCACATTCACCCGAAGGTCCTTCTTTGATGCATGTTCCAGGTGCCTTATCCTCCTGTGCATGTCTGTACGTTTCTGGTTGCAAATACATGGACCGCTTGAGAGAGAGAGCAGAGCCAAACGTCCTTGATGCGCGTGGCAGGGCAGAAGGGCGCTGGCTGTCGATCTTGGACTGTTCTGAGAAAATACAGGTGCCTGTGATGAGAGAGGATGGGGAGGGAAAGGGGAGGGAACGAGGAGGGGAGGGGGAGGGTACGGGGATGGGAATAGGAGGGAAACGGGAAGGTATGGGAAGGGGATCGGGAGGGGAAAGGGAGGGGAAGGGGATGGAAAATGGGGGAGAAGGGGAAGCAAGGAGAACCGAAGAGGAGGGGAAGCGGAGAGAAATGGGAGGAGAGAGGGAGGAGAAGGGGAGGGAAAGGGGAGGGGAAATGGGGAGTAACAGACAGAGAAATGGGAGGGTAAGGGGAGAGGAAGGGGAGGTGAAGGGGAGGCCAAAGCGACAGACAGGAAGTAGATGGAAAGGAGAGGGGAAGGGGAGGGAACGGGTCAGGGGAACGAGGAGAACGGGATTATTGGCTGGATTATAAAATGAAAGGAAGGAACCTTTCAGTCAGCCACGCAGTGGTGCCTTATGCCCACCACAATCGCCATGTAAGACCTTGCAGTGCAAACCATTCACACGAATCACACACCATGCACGCACCACACCATGCATGCACACTATATGCACATGCATGCATCGTTCCCACCCATCCACCCACCCACCCCGTTCACCATGGCCATGCGCACATAGCAGCCAGCCATCCAGCCATCCACCCACCTTGTTCACCATTCATGGGGATGTGGGACCTTGGCGTCACTTGCCGCTTCTGTTCTCACCTTGCCTCGCCTCCGCTGTCCATCTTGGACTGTTAGGAGCTGATTCAAGTGAATTTGATGAGAGGGATGGGGGGGGGGAAGGGCAGGGAATGGGCAGGGAATGGGCAGGGAATGGGAAGGGAATTGGAAGGGATGGGAAGGGAATGGGAAGAGAATGGGAAGAGAATGGGAAGAGAATGGGCAGGGAATGGGCAGGGAATGGGCAGGGAATGGGCAGGGAATGGGCAGGGAATGGGCAGGGAATGGGGAGGTGATGGGGATTGGAAGGGGAGGGGAAGAGGAGGGGAGCGGGAAGGGACGGGGAGGGAAAGGGGAGGTGAAGGGGAGGGGAAGGGGAGGGGAAGGGGAGAAGAAGGGGAGGGGGAGGGAAAGGGATATAAGGGTGGGGGGGGGGGGAGGGAGAGGGGAGGGAAAGGGGAGGAAACGAGGAGGGAAAGGGGACCAAACGATGAGGGGAGGGGGTTGTTGCTTGGTATATCAAATAAATAAAAGGTACCTCCCGTCAACCATGCACTCGTGGCATATGGCCACCAGAACCGCCATGCACAAACCATGCACTGCAGACCATGCACTGCAGACCATGCACTGCAGACCATGCATGCACTGCAAACCATGCATGCACCATGCACATGCACGCATCGCCCCCACCCATCCACCCACCCACCCTGCTCACCATGCATCGGGGTGCAAATCTCGTGCCTCATATTCCTCAAAACGATGCTCTTGGCGTCGCTTGCCGCCTCTGCTGCCACCTTGGCTCGCCTCAGCTGCTCTTCCTGCCTCGGCGTCTCTGGCAGGTCATGCCACATGCCCACCAAGACACTGTCAGCACCAGTGGGGCAGGAGCTGCTTTGTACAAGAGGGAGGGGAGGGGAGGGAAGGAAGGAAAGATGTGCGGGGGAGCGGAAGGGGTACGAAAGCAGGGCAGTACGGGACAAAGGCATGAGCACACGAGCATAATGTCTGCACCGACCGAGGCACATTAGCTGGGTGTGAGTGAAAGGGATGGAGGGGAGGGGAAGAGATAATACAAAGAGGACAGCAATCGAGGCAGGCAGGCATAAGGTCACAAACACACTGGCAGCTCCGATGCACATTAGCTGAGTGGGAGACCGGAAAAGGAGAGGAAGGATGGGAGGGAGGTGGAGGGGAGGGAAAGGCAGCAACAACAATCATCTGCCATTCTGTAAATGGGATATGTGTACACATAGTGAACGATCACAGTAGCTACCTGGTACTGGAAATCAATATGTACAGCCAGAGGCGGCGCCGCCTGAGAGCGACAGTGTATCCCTACAGTATGCGTGGATTATATGTATCATATGTACCCCATACAGTGCAGATGCAGGGGACAGTGAACGATCACAGTACCTACCTGGTACTAGAAGTAAATCTGCATCCCCCTTCCGCCTCGCTTTCTATATAAGTCCAAGGCACCACCACCTCGCCTCTCTCCACCCCTGCCTGCCCTGCCCTCCCACACTTATTTCTCCCCACACATCTCCCCATCCAGCTAAAGCTTGTGAGAGAGTGGGGGTGAGTGAGACGCACCCGAGAGGCATGGCCTGCTGGAAGGCCGTTGTGGAAAATGGAGGGGTAGCGGAGGAGCAGGAGAGAAGCCGGGGTGCAGTGTAGGAGCTGGCGGCACTGCTGTATACCAGTGCCACTCCACTACCGAGTCCTGGTGTAAGGGGGATGATGAGCGGCGGTACAGGGCGTTGGTGGGAGAGATGAGAGAAGGGAAGGTTGTAGGAGGAGCAACTCAGGCTAAGGGGTGAGAGTCTGGGAGAACAAGGGAGGGTTGAGGGTGGGAAACAGGAAGCGGGTGGTGGGAGGAAGGGGAAAGGGGGGTAGAAAGAGAGGGGAGGAGACGGGGGGGGAACACGAAGGGGTGGGGGAGTGGAGGGGGGCAGGTAAAGTTGCTTTGGATGACTTGTAGGAATAACAACCGTTGGAGAGCAGCAGATTGCTGGAAAGGTAGAGGCACGAGAGGAAAAGAGTAGACAGGCGGAGCGCTGTGCTCGTGGAAGTAGGTACAGTTGGACTAAGGCAAGGGTGAACGATGAGGGGTGGGACTCATGGGAGGAGAATCAGGTGCCAGTCGGGATCTACGCGCTTCTTACCAAACAGATGGGCACCATTCCACAGCAGAGGGAGGGGGGAGGGAGAGGATGAGGACTGAGTGATGCCACAAGAGCCAAGGGATACCTGAAAAGGGAATCATGATTCAGAGCATGGGAAACCGACAAGGAAGATTTAGAAGTGGATAGACGGTGTTGGGGGCTTGACGGGGGCGAGAAGCAGGCAGGGGGAGAAAGAGGCATGACTGCGTCATGCATGAGACGCGCTGCGTGTGCCTCGCAATCCCGTCCGTTCATTCATCTTACCGTTTGCTTCTCTCAGATCTCTCCATCGCAGTCCTCAGCCCGTCCCCGTTGTCAGGCATCACCATCGCACGCCCGCTTCTAAACCATCTCGCGCGCGAGCGGCGCGCCGTGGGGAAAACGCAGCGCATCGAGGCTTCGGGCTCCACCTCAGCTTGTTGCTGCGAAGAGCACTGGAGAGAAATCGAGGCGCATCAAGGTTCCCGTTCTAGGCTGTACCCCAGCTCGTTGTTGCGAAGTGCCACTTGGGAAACGCGTGCATCGGGTCGATTGCAAGTGCATGGTGCCTAAGTGGCGCTGCGACGCGCGGCATTCAAAACCCATCAAGCTCCATTTCAAAGAGTCGCTCCCCCAGGTCTTTGCTTCCATTTCAATTCTGAGCTGCGCGTGGCGGCATCGTCATTTTCAGCAAGGCGCGTTTCGCGAGACACTGGAACAGGCAACATCAATTTAGAGGCGCCGGTTGTCGCAGCGCTCGATCTTCTGACTGAGCATGCGGAGCCGGCCCAAACGGTGCACAGATCGCTTCCACTCGCCACCCCTCGAACGCCCTCCCCCACGCATGCTGGCACGCCTGCTGCACAGGGTTTAGGGAAGGGGCTAAAGACAGAGTTGAAGGGTCCTGAGACCCCTGCGCAAGAGAGCAGCAACACAGTATGTTTCTTCCTTTGCCTGCCCAACGATCGCCTCGTTACAGCTTCCATGCTGCTGCCAAATTACTCACCTCCCGCCTCACTCCTCTCACCTGCTGGCAAGCAAACATCACAGCAGAGCGAACACGACTAGAGCGAACCGGACCAGACCAGACCAGATCCGAGCGCAGGAGAAAAGACCATAGCGCCGCCGGACCACCAGACCATGACATGGCCACAACGTCAACACACAGCGGACTCCAGATGCAAGCTAGTGGGACGGCGGCGGGTGGAACGGGAAGAGCTGAAGGGAAGGGATGGTTTACGCTCGGCGCGACTTTCCAACGGCCAGCATTGCTTTGAGGGGTGGGGGAAAACTGCCATTCGCCAATCTCTAGACAACGAATGGCGGCGTGACGCGGCGAAATGGCGGTGCGACGTGGGGAAGCGACGAGGCGAACTGAAGGCGAACTGAAATGGCAAAGTGGCGGCGTGACATGCGAAATGGAGGCATAACATGGCGACAGGGTAGCGGGACGCGGCGAAATGACGATGTGACATGACGAAATGGCAGCGTGACATGTGAATTGGCGGCGTGGCATGACGACATCGCAGCGCGACGCGGTGGAATTACGGTGTGACCTGGCGAAATGGCGGAAAGGAATGGCGAGATGAAAGCACTACACGGATCTTAGGAGGGGCGAATAGTCACGCTGCGGACTGCGGCGAAACACGTCGGCAGGAAGAGCATAAGCGCGCCGAGCCGATTGCTCAAGCACCCATCACGTCGACTAAACATGGTAGAAACGACAGTGAAGCATAGCGTCTGATTCTTAGGCGCCTCAAAAATAGCCCGACAACGCAGAGCAGATCCTACTTCTGAAGCCTCTAGCGTGAAAACCACGAGCGAGGGTCGATGGATTTTACTTAGCTGTCGCTCAGCGGCTCCTCAAGGCGATTGAGGGGAAAGAAAGACTACTTATGCGGATAAGTTAGAATTTGGTTTTGCCTGCTGGGAGCAAACTTTATATGGTTTCCAACCTCGTTCTTGTCGCTATGGCATTGTGCGAAGCTCTGAATTCTGCGAGGTTCCGAGTTTGCAGAAATCTTGGCAAAAATGCACCCCAATACAAAAGTCGCTGGCACACCAGGTTCGGCTAGGTAGGCTGGCGCAGACTTCGGCGGTCTGTACGTTCGGGTTTGGTTAGCGGAGGCGACATTACAGGGGTCACGTAGGTATCTTACGAAGCCCCGAACATGACGGGGAGTCGGCACGCCTGATTTGACGAAACCGAAGCTGACTCGAGTCGCTTCTGAACCTTCCGTTTCCGCCTTACCTCAAACCTCCCCCTCCAAAATCCAAACGTAAGATGTTGTTTGTCCTGAAGTTAAAAGGGATGAGGGAGCATTTTGACTAGTTCGGGTATTCCCCCGAGACAGAGGCAAAGGAAAGAAGAGCATGAGAGGCTTTCTGTAGTTCTTCATCAGAGTTCAAAAAGATGGTGATGTCATCAGCATAACATGCCATCAGGCGGCGCTGTGTGCGGGAGATGGGAAAACCGGGGAGGAAGCAGGAGGCATGTCGGTGGAAAACTTCAATGACACATAGGAACAGAAGCGGGGCAAGGGGGCAGCCCTGTCTAACTCCAGAGCAGACCGGGATGGAAGGGCCACAGAAATTGTTGACAGAAATCCGTGTAGAGGTGCCGGTGTGCATTAGCCGAACCCATTGGATAAAGGGGGGAGGAAGACCGAGGTGAGCAAGACAGGAGAAGAGAAATTCCCTATCGACCAGGTCGTACGCTTTACGGATATCGACCGTGAGAGCAAGAAGGGAGAGGCCTTGGGCCGAGGCCCAGTCAAAAATGTCTAAGGTATCGTTCAAGGTGTCGCCGATCCTGCGGGACTTAATGAATGCAGATTGGGAATGATGAATCAGAGAGGGGAGGAGGGGTTGTGTCTGTTGTGTCTGTTTGTTCCGTTCTACGCAGGTGACTGGGTTCTTCTGGCGGCCGACATGTTCTCCCTGCCCTGGCTAGCGTTTGAAGTGGAGGAGGCTCTTCCCGATGGCTCCTTCTTTGCTAATTCGTTTGATGTTTCTTCTACAGGACGCATCGGCACCCTCGCGGTTGAACGAAGGCAGCTCTCCCCGCACGACGTGGTCCACATTCACGTGCATAACCGCTGGCTTTGCGGCTCCTTCTGCTCCGGAGCAGGTCTAGCGGCTCGACTCCCTCTGCTGGACGAGGGGATGCCCTCACTTGCCGCGATTCGCGAACTATCCTACGAGCGACAGGAACCGACGCACCCGTGGAGATGGGCCAATCTCCTACCCAGCCCTGGCCCGACCCTCATTCCTGATTACACTCATTCTTTCCTCTCCTCACAGCCGTCATCCCAGCGGGACATTCTCTTCCGCTTATACACATTGGCACTCCCGTCTGGCTCCAGGTTCAGTTTCGCTCGGGATAAAGGCGTTTGTCCGGGCTGTGATCGTGGGGTGCTGGAATCTCTCCCACATCTCCTGTTCGAGTGTGGCGTCGCAAAGCCTATTACTGAGGCACTACAACGCACGGCACGCGCTCATTTGGGGATTCAAACGTCTCCCGAGCTCTCTCTGTTTCCGCTATCTTCCGCGGCTGGACAAGACGCCCCTTGGTGTCTGCTGGTTGGTGCAGCTGCAAAGGTCATTTGGAATGCAAGATGCAGCTTCCGCTTTAAAACGAGGGTCTAGATTTGACAAGCGGGGGTTCAGAAGTTTTTGTTTTGAACCAGGCTTGCCAGCGCGAAAGTGTTGGCTAACGAAAACCTGGATTTCGTGCGGACACTTTTCCTTCGCAGTAACAGTTCGCCAGGGTTTTGGGTTTCGGGTGGCAAATGTGCACCGTCGCTTTAAGCAGGTCTCCACCAAAACGGTTGACGCATTACACCAAGTGCTACACTTCTTCCTTCTAGCGTTCAAGATTTTTCTGTGGCGTGCTTCTAAAGGATCCAAGAAAAGGCAACAACGAGCGGCCCACAAAACGAGGCTAGCACAGCTCCACAGACTTTTCATCTTCCCTGAACCGAATCAACCGGTTATCCACCCGGAACTCCGAGCCACGTGGCTCCTCAATGACGCCTTCCGCCCTCCCTGAAGATCTGTCTCCAGCTTTGCCACGTGCCACTGGATAACCATCCTAGATGGTCTCGTTTTTCATAGCGGGAGGAAGACGTGTTCACACGTGCTCCCTACGGGGAGCTGGGCTTAGGCTTGTTTCCTCATCCAGTTGCATGTTTGTAATGGGTCACGACCTAATAAAAACCTTTAAACCTTTAAACCCTCCAAAATCCAAACCACCTGAAGTCGCAACGAAATGTCGCAGGCGGAGTAACCCCGCCGGTGGGCGATCATCGACGGTTGGTCTAAATTGACGTCGCAACAACTGTTTAGCAATGTGTGTGTATAAAAGTTGTAGTATACACATGGTTGTAATTCTGGCAAACAGAATGTAAAAATGGCTTACAAACTCCCCATGGTTTGACTCATAACTCTGATATTTGTGGTTCATTTTGAATGAAACCTAGATTTCCTGGACCTCCTTGATGTCCTCTTCAAGCTAGCATGTGTTTGTTATTTTGGACAAAATCATTCATTCTGTCACTTTTGGCTCAACTAAGGTTGCTCCTAGCAGGTGCAATGTCATTTTCTGGATATCATGCACATGTGTTATGGTGTGACCATTTGTTTTTGGTTTTTTAGTATTATGGCACCTGTTCCAGGCCCCCACATCATTCACAGCTCAGTGCACACACCATAGGTGGGTTTTCTGTGCTAGAAATTCAGTACAGAATTGCCTGGTGTGATGTTTCAAGTGAAATCAACCACTTCTCCTTGGGCATTTGACCTGATTTTTATAGGGGACCCTCATCACACCTATTACAGACTCCCCTCTGAAATTCACCTCATTTGCCCAAGTTTTGCTATGGTTTTAAAGCCTTGTTCTGCAGCAGACTGCAGAATTCTGTGCAGAAATGCCTGGAATCAGGTTGCAGGTGGAATCACCCACTTCTTCTTGGGCAAATGGGATGATTTTCAGAGGGGACCCTCATCACACTTATTCCAGACTCCCCTCTGAAATTCACCTCATTTGCCCAAGGTTTGCTATGGTTTTCAAGCCTTGTTCTGCTGCAGACTGCAGAATTCTGGGCAGAATTGCCTGGAATCAGGTTGCAGGTAGAATCACCCACTTCTCCTTCGGAAAATGGGATGATTTTCAGAGGGGACCCTCATCACACCTATTCCAGACTCCCCTCTGAAGTTCACCTCATTTTCCCAAGGTTTGCTATGGTTTTCAAGCCTTGTTCTGCAGCAGACTGCAGAATTCTGTGCAGAAATGCCTGGAATCAGGTTGCAGTTGGAATCACCCACTTCTTCGGAAAATGGGATGATTTTCAGAGGGGACCCTCATCACACCTATTCCAGACCCCCCTCTGAAATTCACATCATTTGCCCAAGT